GCATTGTGGGAGCAGGGACGGTGACTTGCGCAGGGGTTTATAGTGCCAGTAGACTTGCGCTGCATCTACCTACACTCTCTCCTCCTCCCCCGCCTGGGCCCGGTGTCAAGACAGAGTCAAGAAGACCGGAGACGAGGGAGGACGCAGGTGGATGGCTCGGACGGATACTCGCCTTGGCGCTCCACTCCGCACCCCCTGGTTCACACACAAATGACCAGGATTTTGACCGCAAAACAATGGGATGGTGGCAGGTCCAGTTGTGCGACGAATGCCGACAACAGGGTCCGCCAGCGCACCCCGCAAATGTTGGCATTTGTTATTACGCACAGATAACGCCTGCAAGAGTCCGATAAGGCCCCCGTTTTGGTCCAGCGCATCTACCACGTGGCCCGTTTTGAGGGCACACACACACACATGACAGTTCGTCCGTCGATTTCGACGATGACCACCGTGTGCCCCACAGCAGGTGGGAGCAGGGACGGTGACTTGCGCAGGGGTTTATAGTGCGGGTAGACTTGCGCTGCATCTACCTACACTCTCTCCTCCCTCGCCCAAGCCCGGTGTCAAGACAGAGTCAAGAAGACCGGAGACGAGGGAGGCCGCAGGTGGATGGCTCGGACAGATCCTCACCTTGGCGTTCCACCACACCCCCTGGTCCACACAGCAATAACCAGGATTTGAACCAACACAACATAGATTTGGAGGCTGGCACGGCCGAAGCCGCACCTGGGCGTGCCGCCAACGCCTGGCTCGGATCCCACACTGCGGTGGGAATGCCATAAAGGCCACATTAAAAAGGAGCCATTGCAGCCTGACTCTCAGACCGCCTCCAGTGAAAGAGGAGGTCCAAGGTACCCCGTCAGTTGGCAACCTTCCAAGCCACGGCTTTTAGCGCACCGTGATAGCTTCAAGCGCGTCAGATTGTTTATAGTGAGGAGAAAGTGCGCTGAGTCGTCGACCTCACTCTCCCTTCCCATTCCCACACCCCAGCCGCTGTCCGAGCCGGTCAGCAGGCTGGAGTAGGGAGTGGGCGCGTTGGCTGTCATGATCGACGGACCATGACTGCGCGCGCCACAGCACGACCTGGCCCCCCATACACACAAACACCAGGATTTCACACAACGGGGGTTGAACGGCGTGCCTCTCACTTGCGTGAGAGAGCCGTGGAAGGTGCTGCTTCAGCCCGCCCCCAGCCCACCAGTCCGCCATTACACACAACACACACACAACGTGACGAACTGCGTGAACCGAGAGCGGGCCTCAATCAGCAACCTTCCTATCCACGACGCTTGACGTGTCGGGGTACTCTCGGACACAAGACACCCGTGCAGCCGAAGCCGCATGGGGACCGAGTCGAGATGCACACTTCCCACTTGCGTGGGAGGCGGCAGTTGAGTGCATGCGGTGGGTAAGTGTTGATGTGTGTTGGTGATGGTGGAGGAGGGTAGGGAGTGTGTGAATGTGTGGTGTGACCGGCGGTTGTCTACCGCAGGTCGTCGTGGATGCGCATGTGGCCGAATAGACCCATGCGATGCGTGAAGGTGCGAGGGCAGTGTGGGCAGTGGAGGCGAGTGCGGTGGGTGTAGGTTGGTGCTCCAGGCACTGGTTCGCCAGTCTCTGTGCGATGGATTCGCAAGTGACCCACCAGGCCGATGCGTGATGTGAAGGTACGGTCGCAGTGAGGGCAGGTGCAGTCCTGATCCTCATCACTGGGATCGGGAGGGGTGGGGTTGGTTGCGGTTGTTGTGTTGGGGTTGGTGATGTGTGAGACGGCAGTCTGAACGGCCGCCGCTGGGGCAGTGGAGAGGGAGGAGGAGGAGGACGACGACGAGGAGAATGGAAGTGGTGGTTAAGAAGAGTTATCAGAGTTAGTTGGTGGTAGAGAGGACGAGGAAGAGGCGGGCGGGGGGACGATGGCTGGAGCAGTTCGAGAGGCACAGTTGATTCGAAGATGTCCAACAAGTCCGATTCGTGCCCGGAATGTCCGTTGACATCGAGGACACGTAGGGGGAGGTTGTGCGGCGGCGTTGCGGAATGGGCGAAGTTGTGATTTGCGGGCTTCGCGTTTCACTTTGGCGGCAGCGATGCGGTTGGCTTCGTAGATAGCAGCGCCCGTCTTCACTGTTCTCCTCCATGCCGGACGATCGCGGGCGAGCTCTTCCCAGTTGGTCGGGTTGATTTGCAGGCGCTTCAGGGAGGACTTCAGAGTATCCTTGTAACGGCGAATTTGGCCTCCTTAACGACGAGAACCCGTCGCGACGTCTCCGTAGAAGAGTCGTTTGGGTAGTCGCTCGTCGTCCATGCGCACCAGGTGGCCGCTCCAGCGCAGCTGCATTTGTCTCAGTATGGCGTAGATGCTGAGGATTCCCGTTCGTTCCAGTACTTCCGTGTCGGGGATTCGATCCTGCCAATTCAGCCTCAGGATGCGACGGAGACAACTGAGGTGGAAGTGGTTCATTCGGCGTGCCTGTCTCGTGTACACCGTCCATGTCTCTGCTCCGTACAGTAACGTCGGCAGGATGACGGCCTTGTACATATTCAGCTTTGTGCTCAGTTGGAGACCGTGGCGATTCCAGACTGTGCTTCGGAGGCGTCCGAAGGCTTGACTGGCTTTCGAGATCCTGCGAGCGACTTCGCCATCGATTTATGTGTTTCGGGAGAGGGTACTGAGCAGGTACGGGAAGTTCTCCACCACTTGCAGTTGGGTTCCGTTCACGCTGATTTGCGGCGGCGCGTTGGGGGGCTGTGGTTGAGTTGGGCGGCGGTTGGTGCATCACCACCGTCTTCTGCGTGTTAATGACCAGACCGAAGTTCTCGCAGGCGGCGGAGAATAGGTCCATGCTCCGTCGCATCTCCTCTTCCGAGGTGGTGTTCAGGGCGCAGTCGTCGGCGAAGAGGAGTTCGTGCACGGTGGCTGTGGATACACGCGATTGGAAGTTCATGCGCCGTTGATTCAGGAGATGACCGTCCGTTCTGTAGGCGATGCGGATTCCAGGGCGTTCGTCGCGGTAGGCGTCCATCAGCATGGCAGAGAACATAAGACTGAAGAGGGTAGGCGCCAGCACACAGCCCTGCTTCACTCCGTTGGTCACTGCGAATGCCTCTGAGACAGTTCTGTTGTCCGTAACTCGCGCCATCATACCGTCGTGCAGCTTACGCACCATCTGAGTGAATCGCTCCGGACAGCCGAATTTCTGCATGATCTTCCATAGTCCTTCACGATTCACCGTGTCGAAGGCTTTCGTCAGGTCCACGAAGGTAGAGTACAGGTGGGTCCGTATCTTCCGGCACTTCTCCTGAAGTTGGCGGGCTGCGAAGATCATATCCGTGGTCCCACGATGACGACGAAAGCCGCACTGGCTTTCCGGCAGAAGGCCCTGTTCCAGATGGTTGTTGAGGCGGTTGAGAAGGATGCGAGGGAGGATCTTCCCGGCGATGTTCAGTAGGGAGATGCCGCGGTGGTTGTCGCAGACTTGGCGATTCCCTTTTCGCTTGTAGAGATGCACGATGGTTGCGTCCCTGAAATCTTGCGGGACTTTACCTTGACGCCACATCTCCTGGAAGAGCGCAGTCAGGTGATCCATTAGTTGGGGATTTCCGTGCTTGTAGACCTCAGCAGGGATTGCGTCCGATCCGGGTGCTTTCCCGCTAGAGAGCTGCTGCACGGCCCTGATGGTTTCCTGGAGGGATGGCGGGAGGTCGAGGTCCGCGTTGGTCTCCACTTGCGGCAAGCGGGCGATGACGGCGTCGGAGATGACGGAAGGGCGGTTGAGGACGCCTCGGAAGTGCTCGGCCCATCGCTGTAGGATTTGCGTCTTCTCATTCAGGAGAGTGCTGCCGTTGGCGCTGAGGAGAGGAGCAGTGCCCTTCGCGGCGGACCGTAGACAGCTTTGATCGCGGAGATGAAGTTCTTCCACTCGTTGCGGTCCGCGTAGCCTTGGATCTCCTCAGCTTTGCAAGCAGTCCAGGCGTCCTGCATCTCTCGCAGTCGTTGCTGAAGCTGTCGGCGACTGCGGTAGAAGGCAGCTTTGTTGTCCTCAGTGGGGTGATCTACGTAGGCTTTGTGTAGGCGGTTCTTCTGAGCAAGCAGATTTCTGATGGCGGCGTCGTTGTCGTCGAACCAGCCCTGGTGTTGGCGGGGAGCGCGATCGAGGACGGCGAGAGCCGTCGACTGGACCGTGTCTCGCAGTTGACACCAGCGGTTCTCCACGGAGGTTTTCTCGGCAGCGGCGGCAGCGATATGAAGGTTGTCTAGCCGTTGAGCTAGCTCATTGCTGAAGTGAAGATGATGGGCGGGCAAAGACAACAAAGCAACATTCAGCTTACCTGGGGGTCGCTTACCTTGTGGTCTCCTGCGAGGCTGTAGGCGAATACGCATCTTCGAGATGACGAGGCGATGGTCGGTCCACCCATCAGCCCCCGCAATCGCCTTCGTCACCAGCACGTCCCGCTGATCTCGCCTCCGGACGAGGACATAGTCCAGCAGGTGCCACTGACGCGACCGAGGATGCCTCCAGGTGGCCTTCTCTCGCTCCGGCAGACAGAAGAACGTGTTCGTCAGGATGAGGCGGTGTGCTGCGCAGGTGCGAAGCAGTAGCAGACCATTGTCGTTGGAGCCGTGGAGACCGTGAGGACCCAGCACTCCCCTCCAGGCAGTATGGTCTGTGCTGACGCGGGCGTTGAAGTCACCAAGGACAATCAACTTGTCCGCCTTCGACACAGTCGCCAAGAGGGCGTGCAGGTCCTCGTAGAATTTGTCTCTTGCGGCGGCGTTGGGGCTGGTCATCGTCGGAGCGTAGGCGCTGATGATGGTGGCGAATTTGCCTCCTTGCCGGAGAGGCAGGCGGAGGCCCATCGGGCGATCGTTGATTCCCTGCGGCAGACAGGGCAGTCGTCCCACGATGTCAGTCCGGATGACAAAGGCGACACCCGCGTCACGTCGCTCTGGCCTGGGTCGACCACTCCAGAAGAAGGTGTAGCCGGCACCCACCTCCTCCAGTTGGCCTTGTTCGGAGAATCGGGTCTCGCTGAGTGCGGCGATGTCCACCTTGTAGCGCGCCAGTTCTCGTGCCACTAGCGCCATCCTCCGTTCCTGTCGGTTGCTCCTCGGATTGTCTAAAAGCGAACGAACATTCCAGGCTGCCAGAGTGAGCGGGCTCACCCTGCCAGTCTGGCGACTGCGGCGGCGAAAAGTAGGAGTAGGAGAAGAAGAAGAATAGGCTGGAAGAGGAAGAGAGTGATTGTTGTTGTTGTTGTTGTTGTTGTTTCGATTTTGGCTGTTTCGACCGTGTGTTTTTTGTCTGTGGCCACGGCCAGCCTACAGACAGCGTGGTTCCCAGCGATATTTAGGGCACCTTTTCTAGCCCCCTCCCCCTCGCGAGGGCAGGCAACGCATCCCTGAACAGGGCTGCCCGGTTATCCCAGACGGCTGCCGGACTCCACTTTGGGCCACGACTTTTTGTTAGTGAGAGAACGACCCGAATTAGCCTGGGACCTTGGTGGTGGTGATGGTGATGTGATGGAGTGAAGTAGGAGAGAGCATACACACTACCTAACGCTATGGGACTTAGAACTAGAGTGGACAGGCGGACACAGTCATCAGTCAGAGACAAAGTGAGGGCACCACACAAAGTCAAGCACCGTAACACCTAGCTATTAGTAGAGAGTGGCATAGACTGACGGACAGACAATCGCAGCAGGCATCGAGGGTGTCGTTTATCTATTAACAGACAGACAGCATACAGAGGGCAGGCAGCAAGAGCAGCATACGACACGGAACTTCTGCAGACAAAAGGAAGAAACAGAGCAAATGCACTTACCTGAGGGGGAACTTACCTGGTGGCCTCCTGCGATGGTCCAGGCAGAGCCTCGTCTCGACGATGTCGACGCGAAGATCCATCCGGCCAGCGCAGACCACAGTACCGCGCGTGCAGGTGCACGCACGGATACCCTCACCTGGTTTAGCCCGCCGGTCGAGACGGTTACCCGGGGTGTGGCCGCTGAGCAGAGCCCAGCTACGTGGAGCCACAGGTGAGAGTTAGGTGCCAGCAAATGGACGCTAGGCGTAGTCTCACCTGCGAGCAAGTGAGCGACCACTACGACCATCACGTGGACCCACCGCTGACACCCCTACACCCCTCTCTCTCTCTCTCTCTCTCTCTCTTACACACACACACACACACACACACACACACACACACACACACACACACACACACACACGACAGTTCGTCCGTCGATTTCGACGATGACCACCGTGTGCCCCACAGACTGCATTGTGGGAGCAGGGACGGTGACTTGCGCAGGGGTTTATAGTGCCAGTAGACTTGCGTAGCATCTACCTACACTCTCTCCTCCTCCCCCGCCTGGGCCCGGTGTCAAGACAGAGTCAAGAAGACCGGAGACGGGGGAGGCCGCAGGTGGATGGCTCGGACGGGTCTTCGCCTTGGCGCTCCACTCCGCACCCCTGGTCCACACACCAAGACCAGGATTTTGACCACAAAACAATGGGGTGGAGGCAGTGGTCCAGTTGTGCGACGAATGCCGACAACAGGGTCCGCCAGCGCACCCCGGGAGTGTTGGCATTTGTTATTGCGCACAGATAACGCCTGCCAGAGTCCGATGTGGCCCACGTGTTGGTCCAGCGCATCTAACACGTGGCCGGTTTGGAGGGCACAACACACACACACACACACACACACAAATGTGGCCCCTAGTTGGTCCAGCACATCTGCCGCGTGACCCCTTCTAGTGGCAAAGCATGTCACACACGACCTGGTCCGAGTAGTGGACCAGGTCTTCACAGGATAAGGGGTGGCTCGGATACAACCTGTATCAAGTACATGTTGCCCGACCACTCTTATTCTTCCTGTAGTAAAGGGTGTTTGGTCGGATCTTATTTCGTAGCCGTACCTGCAGTAGACAAGCCCCAGACTAACCCCTAACCCTGACCACCTAACCACAACCCCTAGCAGGTACGGCTACGAAATAGGATCTTGCCAAGACAAACACTACCAGCACATATTATCGATGCCTGTTGTTTTCTCCATCGAAGTTTTCGTTGGTATAAGTATCGATGGTCTTCATCAATGCTGACATGACCACTCCCCGCATAAACAATAACCTCAGTCACTTTTTAGACCATTAAGATGAGAGAACTGTCAGGTTCGTATCGTCATTCGTCTTAGTACGTGTATTCCACAGCCCGTAACTCCACAACATAACCATAAAATATCTCTAAAGCCCACTTGCGCCGTTCTCAACGCACGCTTACATCTGACCGTGCATATACTGCTATCCCCCAGTCAGGCCATTTTTAGGACTGCGGGTCTATTTGCGCATGGCTTGTTGCCACCTAGTTACGGCTACGGATTCATTTTAGCATTTAACGTTCCGTCTCCTAAGGGTGTCTTTCAGTTCGTCTTGTCGAAAGTCTAAGTGTAGCTTAAAAAGATCGGGTGACAAAGCCACGCGAAATCTTAGAGGCATCTACGTGACCAAGGCGACGCACGTCGCTCGCAAACACTGCACCTCTGCGTACGTGACCACTTCGACGCGAGGCATGTGGGACGGCCTTTCACAACCTTGCTCGGCGCTGATTTTGATTGGCTGACATTCCACGTGCCTGGCTGTTGACTAGTCTGTTTCATTCGCCTGACTTCGGGCTTGGAGCGAAAATAAACAATGGAGGAAGAAGGCGCGCCAACACCACTTGTCAACAGTCCTCGTTTTTCCTGAAAGTAGAGTCTATTATGGAAAATGTACTATCCTGCAGATTGCACATAATCTCTTCGGTTATTGACGGCAGATGTAACGCCTTGGTTTTCGAACATTTCTGGCGTGCTTAGCAGCCTCTGAAAGTATTCTTTCCCGCACATCGCCAGAGGGATAGGACTTCATCTCAGACTTCATGTTATACAGGTGGGGATTCTAAGCGTTGTAGGGATCTCGTAGAAATCCCGAAACGTCGTCCATTGTAGACACCAAATTTTAAATGCACACTGCGCCCATACTGACTTTGGTTATTATGCTTAGTGAGAGCGTCACCCCAACCCCCTGCAGGTTGGTTAGCCAGTATTTCCTGACCGCTCGAACAACAGGCGTCGAATACAACCATAAATAGAGGGGTTGCTTGAAAACTACATTTGTGTTTAATTTAAAGTTAACCTGCTTTGTATACAGTTTGCCAAAATGATCAACCCTTAGGAAGTCATCGATAGCTATAGGGTAATGTAAGCGTGTACTACAAACTTAGGATCGAGCCGGTACACCCCATCCTCAATATCTACTGCAGGGTCTGTCCAAGCTGAGTGATCCATACTTTATTCTCCCCACGGTACAATTGTTCTTTTGAAGTCATCATTCTATCCAGCAAAGAAAAAGGTGCGCTAGTTGGTCGGGATGCGGACGGCAGGCAAATCAAAGAATCGGATAGCGAAATGTTCAAAGCCACTGTTCTGGAGTGGCTGGAACGATATGCAGCGGTAAGTTCGGTGTTTCAGTTTTCCGGCAGTGAAACGATGAGGGATCGCTGGAGGCTGTAATCGGTCTGCATCATCGTCTGTTTTGTGTGAATACGGTTTAA